GCTGAAAACATCACCAACAAAATGCAAACATTAGAGTATGTATTTATGTTGGTTATGTGGAATAATATATTGCAGCATTTTCATTGGATGAGTCAAGCTCCCCAAGATTCAGAAGTAAATTTAAAGAACAAGCACAGATCTCTACCAGTCATCAATAGGGTGTTTACATAATTTAAGAGATTTTGAAACTTTTGAAAACACAACAAAACAAATAGTGCCAAATGCTGATTATCAAGCAGTTCACTACTGCAGAAGCTTTAGAAAGAAACAAGTAAATGAAGTAAAAACAAGTAAAAGTGCTCCAGAAGTATCAATGAGTGCCAGAGATCAATTTTGTGTAAACACATAATACACCATCATTGACATACTTGAATCTTGCATGAGAAGAATGGCAAAAGTGTATGAAGTTCTTTCAAATAGATTTTCCTTCTTAAACAATGTGGATATACCTGATGAAGAATGCATGAAAGCATCCAAGAAATTACTGCAGGCTTATCCCAATGACTTAAACAGAAACCTTTAATGAAAAGTACGACAATTTCCTTCTTACATGAGAACTAAGTTTACAGATTCAGGAAAGACAAATTTTCCTCATGTAGGCATGTATGACTCCACAATAAAAGATAAAATACAATGTATATTTTCCAATGTTGAAATGGCTTTATGCATATCATGCACCACCGGGGCTCCTTTCTAACTTAATGATCACAAATTGCACAACAGAATACTCATTTTCATCCCTAAGAAACTCAAAAACCCTCAGGTACAACAATATTCAAGAAAGACTTGATTCATTATCTTTATTATGTACGGAAGTAGATATTGTTTGGTAGCTTAATTGTTATGAAATCACTGAAGAATGTGTAAGAACAAAGAATAGAAAGAAATATTTTTAATTATAACATGTCAGTGATGAAAGATCTATCTAAAAATAAAATACAGTAATTTGTTGTAATATTTGTTTTTTGATCATTACATTTTCTTTTATGACATCTTTTTATTTGTTCATTTATAATGGCAGCATTTATTACAAAACAAGCATCAGAATTGTAGTATGAGCTGTTTAAAGCAAAATTGGTGAAAGTCAATTTTTCGTTGTGGGAGGTCAACAGAATTTTACATCAACTGTTGAAACAACTAAGTTCACTGACTCATTTTCTATGTTGTGGAATATTCTTTTTGTAGAAAAAGTGGTATATAATAAAAATCTTGGTACCTCGCATCCACTACAAATTTTATAATCAGTTCTTCTCATTCCACTAAAATGGCATATACCACTTTTGCATACAATCGCTAATATTATAGTTGCATTTATAAAGAAGTTACATCATAGATAGCTAACACACACCATATAAATATATAAATATAAATACACACATACACATATATATACATGTGTATATAACTTGGAGCCCTGGTGGCACAGTGGTGAAGAGCTCGGCTGCTGACCAAACAGTTGGCAGTTCAAATCCCCCAGCCACTCCTTGGAAACCCTTTGGGGGCATTTCTACTCTGTTCTATGGGAATTGACTCGATGGCACTGGGTTTGGTTTGGTTTTGGTTTTATATATAACTCACATATTCTGTTCGAATGTGTGTGTAAGCAGAGGAAGGGGCACCACAGATTATCAGTGTTTAGGGCCCTCACATACCTTAATCCCCGGCCCTGCCTTCAGGTCTCTGTTCACATGTTATCACCACCTCACAGAGGTCTTTCTAGATCCTTCCTGAGTACCGGGTTTAAAGCAGTCCCCTCCACCACCTCCAATGCCCTCATGACCTTGTTTTATTTCCTTCATAGGACTTCTCATGGTCTGAAATGATCTTGCTTATTTGCTTATATATTTATTGTCTGTCTCCTCCCACTAGAACATAAATTATACAATGAGGGACAAAATGCAAATAGCGGAGCAAATGCAAATAACTGATGAATAAACATCTGGAAAAGCAAAAGGGGGTGGGATGGAGCCCTTAAATGGAGGACTGAAAGTGCCATTTCTTCCTCAGAAACAAGAGCAAGGAAGGTAGAAGAGAGCAGAAACATCAGGGAGTCTGAGGTGTAATGCGTTATGCAATCTAAGTTCCTTTCCTATCAGCCTTTAATTACATGGTTACATTGGTTGTAGAAATAGCAGCAAACTATTTGATTTTCCCCTGCCAGCTGGCTGTTCAAGATATGCTATGTACATGGGGTGGAAAAATACTTTTCCAGATTCTTTTCTCCTTGGCTGTACAAGGCTTAGCAAGAGAATCACTGGCCCATATCATGTACGTAAAAAAAATGCTTTGGGAACTATTAGGGATTTTACAGATGATGTTACTGTTACTTTATTCTGGGCATGATTTTACAGGGGGTACACCTGTTTTAATCATCAGGAAAGAACTCTGGGTGGATGCCCACCAGGCCCCCCAAGAGGCTTCAGCATCTTTTCTGAGAGGCAGTTTTCACCAGAGTTAGAGAAAACTATCGGAAGGAGAAATGAGTTCAGATTTACAGAGCACTTGTTTTTTCCCAAATGCTTTGAAATGACTAAGCATTAAATTCACATAACCCTGCTGTGAAACGGATTACAATAATGTTATTATAACCCCATTTTCTGTTGCAAGGTGGAAATAAAATTTGCTCCAGACTAAACAGGAAGTTGTAATAAAATTATAGCCACTGGCTAATCCAGGCTTTCTGATTGCACATACATTACATCTTTTATACACTGTAAGGTTCAGAATGAGAACTACCAGCAACACAATTGACATTCCTTTCAATTTCCCATCCCTCCCCTCCCCGCTTTGTTGTTGTTGTGAGCGGTCAAGTCTATTCTGACTCATAGCAACCCTCTATGACAGAGTAGAACTGCGCCACCATAGGATTTCCCAGGCTGTAATTTTTAAGGGAGCAGATCACCAGGTTTTTTCTCCCAAGGAGCTTCTGGGTGGGTTTGCTGTTGACCTTTGGACCTTTAGGTTAGCAGCTGAGCCCTTACCCATTGTGCTGCCCAGGCTCCTCCGGTTACCCCTCCTCTAGCGTAAATAGACAACCTGGATCTCCACCCTTTGTAATAAGTCCCCTCCGTATTTTAAAAGACTTCTATGGTGCTCTCTCCCATCCCCAACTAACCATGCTAAAAAAAGATCCAAACCCGTTGCCAATCCAGTTGATTCTGATTCATAGAGGAAGAAAATCAAAGAAGCCCCAATTTTGGTTATCCCCTAACTGGTTGCCATGGAATCACCCCTATAGAACACAGTAGTACTGCCGCATAAGGTTTCCAAGAAGCAGCTGGTGGGTTTAAACTGCCAACCTTTTGGTTAGCAGCTGAGGGGTTAAGAACCACTGTGCCATCAGGGCTCCTATTCTGATTATAGACAGTTAAATTTAATTATGCATCAATTACCCTTACAGTCTCATATGCACAAATTAAGATCCAGACCATGTATAAATTTGTGTATCTAATATTTTTATACATGTTAATATTAACCCATGAGAGAAAGATATGGCAGTTGGCTTCCATAAAGATTACAGCCTTGGAAACCCCATCAGGCAGTTCTACTCTGTCCTATAGGGTCGCTGTGAGTCAGAATCCACTTGACGGCAACAGGTTTAATATTAACCCACATTATATGCGTGGTAATTCTTGTCACCAGTGTATATGCGAATCTTTCTAGACGCATACATTGTATACTACTATGCTGCCTTCTTTGTAGGTATAGTGATCTGAGTCCCAGAGTTGGCAACTCCTGGGTTTGGAATCCTGTTTCTGCAATTATTATATGGCTTCTAAGGAGGGAAACCATTGAGGAGACACTAGGTGGACTTGTAGGATCAATGGCCCCCTAAAACCATCATAATTGAATTAAGTCCCCCCAAAAATGAGTGTATCAATTTGGCTGGGCCATGATTCTCAGAATTGTGTGGTTGGCCTCCATTTTGTGATTGTAATTTTATTTTAAAGAGGATTCGGGTGGGATTGTCACACCACCCTGACCCAGGTCACATCTCTGATCCAATGTAAAGGGAGTTTTCCTAGGGTGTGGCCTGCACCACCTAGAAAAGGGAAGCAAGCAGAGAATTGGGGACCTCATACCACCAAGAAAGGAGCACCGGGAGCAGAGCATGTCCTTTGGACCCGGGGTTCCTGCGCAGAGAAGCTCCTAGTCTGGGGGAAGATTGATGACGACGAGGACCTTCCTCCACAGCCAACAGAAAGAGAAAGCCTTCCCCTGGAGTTGATGCCCTGAATTTGGGCTTCTAGCCTACTAGACTGTGAGAAAATAAATTTCTCTTTTTGAAAGCCATCCACTTCTGGTATTTCTGTTAGAGCAGCACAGGATGACTAAGACACCATCATAATCCCCAGACAAAATGTTAGGTGTTCTAAACTGCTGGGAGTATTTTTTCCTGACATTGAGACGTGCTTTCATATCATCAGTTAGCTCGTTCCAAGACCAGCCCAAAGGCCTCACATACGTTGTGAATATTTCTTTGATCCGCACTGAAAAGAAAAGACTTCGCTTACAGTCTAAAGTGAGGGGATTAAGAAGGAAACAAGTTACTCTTACATCAAGGGTCTACTTTCGGTTGAGCATTGTATAAGTTTCTGAGCGGGGAGAAATGCAAAAATAACCATACAGTATTCTGAAATGACGAGCACTATCTTCGGCCACAAGCCTAATAACCAGAGCACAATAAAAGTGAAAGTCATAGGAAGGGAAGCGGTGCAACAGACCCACGGGACCCCGAGATTCTGGGGACTGTTCGCGCCCGGAAACCTAACGCGGATACCATCCCTCAGCGCTTTTCCAAGCCGCGGCGCCCCGCGCATGCGCACACCGTCCAGCTCGAGGGGGCGGGCCCCGGCTGCCATCTTGCAGCGCGCGGGAGTCGCCGCTGCCGCCGCTCGCCGAAAACCGGGTCCAGACCGATAGTGTCCTACCTAGACCGCCTCCTCTTTCCATTGTCAGCCCTGGCAAACAGCCCTGCCCTGGCTGCCCAGTCCCAACTCTAGGCCAATGAAGTGACCCATCGCCCTCGGCCCGCCTCGTCCCGGTGCCGACCCCGCAGCGACACGGAGCGCCCCGGCACCCTGCCTCCCCGCCGGCCGCGATGCCGAACGTGCAGCTGCCGCCCAAGGAGAGTAATCTCTTCAAACGTATCTTGGTGAGTGGCCGGAGGCCGCGTTTTGGACTCCCGGTCGCCCGGGCTGGGCGCCACGAACATTCTGGCGGAGGCGCCCCCGCGAGCCTCGACTCCACTTCTTTGTTTATGTCTGAGCCCGTACGGCCGCAGGACCCGACTTCCCCGCCTCGGCCAGGCCCCGCCTGGCTGCCTGCGTCCCCGGCCCGCCGAGAGGGGTTACCTAGACCTTTTCTCCGCGCGCTTTCTTCCTCTGCAGTGGCCCGCCCGGCTCCCGCCGCGCCCTTTCCAGAAACTTCACGACTCCCTCCGCAGTCACCCTGGGCAGAGCCGTTTTGGCCGGGTCTTGGCTCCCGTGCCCTTTGCAGCACCTTGCGGCCAGACTCGTAACCTCTCTATTCTCCCATTTCTCTTGCCATCTTATCATTCATTGCTCTGTGTTTAATTGATTGCATAGCGCACCCCAATACCAATTAAGAGTGGGAGCGATCCGATAGTAGGGTGGAGCTCTAATTTATATTGGTTACGGGAAAATAGGGAACGCTAGGAAGCCAAGACTGGCACCACGTTCCTCTGGGTGCGAGTATTCTATGTCTTTAGAGTAGAGTTACCTTTTGGGGAAGAGATTATGTGACTTGCACTGCATTTCTAAGTTCCTCGATCATAGATAGCTCTTTGATTATTATAACTCGTAACTGACATTGCCTTGAGTAAGCGATTAAAGCCGCGTGCACTTGGTAATTTTGCAGTTGAAATGAGCATTTACTTGGTTTCCGAGCAGAAACCTGAGTAATGGTCCCACCTGCTGGTGGATTCGAACTGCCGCTCTTAACCACTGCACCCCCATGGCTTGCCCAGCGGAGAGGTTCAGTGAGTCGTGTGCCAGCGCCTCTGGTGCCTTCACGGTTTTCCAGGTTCCGTTCTTCCGGAGAGGAGGGGCAACATGCCTTTGCTTTTCTGTGTCTGCTTGGAAACCGCAGATCTTAAACTAATTTTGCTAATACGCTGCTGACTTTTCTAGTTGCTCTTTTCGTCTGAAAACAAACCTTTAGATTTTAAGGGTGAATTTATTAGAGCTTATTTTGACTATACAGTTATTAGCCATTGATTAACTTTATTATAAATAAAACAGTTTTAGAATAGTTTCAAGTATTATGTAACAAAAATTCATAGTATCTGTTTTGTTTGAAACAAATGGAAACTTTACACTTAGTCTTCAGAATATTAAAAAGATACATAATAAACCGGATGAAAAATTTGTCTCGCTTTTATATGGTGCTAATGTTGCACATGGAGCCCTGGTGGCGCAGTGGTTAAAACGCTTGACTTGCTTTGGAAACCGTATGGGTCAGTTCTCCTCTGTCCTATATGGTCGCTGTGAGTCGGAATTGTATGATAGCTGTAGGTTTGGGCCTTTTTTTGGTAGTGTTGAACAATTAGAGGAGTGTAAAAACAAAAAATATAGTAAATTATTGCTTCATTAGGCTTTGTATCTTTTTTTCATTTTTTAGTTTACTCTCTTTTTCTTATACCCTCATGTTTTTCACAGGATGGAATTGGAGAAGTGATTTTTTTCTCTTTTTCATTTTGTTTTGTGTGTTTTTTTAGTTTTTGGTCCAGGGAACCTGAAACGTTGTTAATGAAAAATTATCTATAAATTGTTAGTTGGATTTCAGGACATTATACCTAAAATTATACATAAAAGATGATGGAACATTTTCTCTCAGTAATGATGTTTTCTAGTTCAAATCATGTACAAGTAGCATAAAGAAAAACACTTCATTTGTTATACGTAAATCACAAAAAAGTTAAAGCTGCTTTTGAGTTACTTTATCCCCAAATAGATTGGAAAATGCTAAACATTTTATCTGGGTATGTAATGTTTATCGTTAGATTGTATGAATTCAGGAGCAGTTTTGCAGAAGTAAGGACCCCTGGGGGCACATTGGTTAAGCGCTGGCCTGCTGACCACTGATGATCCCAACCCACTGGCCTCTCTTCAGGAGCAAGATGTGGCAGTCTGCTTCCATAAAGATTACAGGCTAGGAAATCTTATTGGGCAGTTCTACTGTCCTGTAGGGTCACTGTGAGTTGGAATCGACTCTGGCAACAGGTTTGGTTTTGGCTTCTGTAAAAGTGCATAATTTTATCATCTCGCAGTTGCAATATTTGTAGGTAAAAATTAGCTAGAACAAATTCCATGACTAACAGACATCTCTATAATAAAATTATTTTTAAAAATATATTT